CACCGACAGTCTGTCTTTATCCTGATTTCTTCATGGCCAAGTTTCTGCACTGTATAGCAGAACTGGAGGAACTGTTGCAGCATACACTTAACCCTTCACAGACAGCCGGAAGTCGCGACGGCGCAACAGATGTTTCGAGTTTGTAAATGCCAACCGAGCCTTCTGTATGCGAGCTGACTCTTCATCCGTGATGCNTGATATGTAACTACCCAAGTAACAAAACTTATCCACAAGCTCCATTACTTCCTTAGAGTGAGGCTGGGTGCTGGACCAACCCAGTCATGTAGTAACACTTTACACTTTGAAGGTGCAAAACGAACATCGAACAAGGCTACGTTGGTACTCAAACTATCTAGAAAGGCTTGCAACTTGCTTGGATCTTCATTTAGTAGCACAATGTCGTCTGCATACTCCAGAATCAAACAGATTGTCACCTGGAAGTAAATCGATACCGCTGTTCTCGCGCGAGGATAGGGCTGTTTCCATGATCAAATATATGACAAAGTTAGATAGAAAAGGAGAGAGAAGGCAACCCTGGCAAACACCACTTGTCGTGGTGAACTCGGGCGAAAGAGTGCCGTAAGCTCGGACTCAACTCCGGCTATTAGTATAAAGCGATCTTAATATTGAAATTAACTTCTTTGGATGCCGAATCGCCTCACACATGGAGGGTAAAACGTGAGGTCGAGGTTGGATCAGGAGAACGCAGGAAAATGATTGTAGTAGGGTCTTGTATGCGTGTTTCGGAGACACAACATACATCTACATTGAAAGTTTCAAGAGTTTTATAAGACAGCTTGCTGATCAATCTGATAGGGCGTGCAGACATTGAACGCGGCTAAGTGAAAGGGGGATTTCGGCTTTAAAAATTCTATAGGGACGGGAAAAGAAATTAGGTCCAAACCCAATCCCAATCGTTTTTCTGTCTGAATCTATGAAGAATGCACATCTTGCACTTGAAAGACTGGGAAGCTCTGTGGCTCCATTCGAAATGTGCTTTGCACCTTCAAAGTGCAAAGAGATGCTACAAGACTGGGTGTCGCCGAGTTCCGTTTTGAAACTAGATGGTAAGGAATTAGAGGGAGTTAAGTGCGTTCCGTACTTAGGTAGTTACGCGACCAACGACGGTAGTGCATCAAAGGAGATAACCGCCCGCATTTCCTAGGCCTTAGCGGGGTACACAGGACAACGACGTGGCGTTTTATTCAAGTTGAAAAGTTGCGCATACTGCGCCACTGTACGGTCAGTTCTGCTTTACGGACCTGAAACCTTGAATGTGCGAGTAGAAGACATCCGTCGCCTAGTGGTTTTCGACAATCAATAGTTACGTAGCGCATCGTATTCAGGTCAACAGGCTCCGTTAGTTAGGATATGTTCTGCGTAAATCTGACAGTCGCCTACCGCACCGAGCCTCATTTGCAGTTGCCGGTGCAGAATGGAGAAAGCCATGTGGAGGCCAGAAGATGACGTGGAGACGAGGCATGAAAAATGCACAGAGCGATTAGGTAGAGTAGATGTTTGTCGCCTTCCAGGTCGGGATCTAACAGAATCCGTAACCAGGCGGTTGGAAACATTGAAGGTTGTGGCAACAAACCGACAGCAGTGGCGATCCTTCTGTCACTTTTTATCAGACTAGAATGATTGAAACAGTGTGTTTGCATAGTTGGGCTGTGTACTCTGTGGTAACCATTGAGGTTCACTTTCTTTCTCCGTCCCCTGAAATAGGACCAATCTTTCTCCCTCTTATACATTTTCGCGTCATGCATCATGAGTTTGGCAGCGATCAGTGAAGTTCGCTGCACTGTGCGATGACGATGATGTCTGGCCTAATGGGGCTTAGGTAGTTCGCCACCCCTAGTCCTAAGTTTTAGGTTGCCGGTTTCCATAACTGAATAGCAGGTTTTAGGGACTGTGGGGCTAATCCAGTCTGCTGCTCATCACACAGAAAGGTGTAGTTAAAAATATTAAAAAATACGTAATACGTACGTAACGTGTGACAGTCGAAGCACCAATCACTTTCTGGAGTTACAAGTCAAACGTTATAGGTGTACTTACACACTTACTTACTTACCATTGATCTCACTTGAATTTACAACGGCATCAATTAAAGTTAAAAGGTTTTGTAGGCAAAGAGGTCTTCTCCGTCGTTTCAAGTGGGAAATACTAAACGGATACTGTTGTTTAAACTTTCAGAAGAAGAAGAAGAAACAGAGTCAGCGATTCCAAGCTTAGATAACAGTACTGCCTTTTCAACTTCGGAGTAGTGGACTAAATGGATCTTTATCATGGACTTCTAGAATAAGAGCTTTGTATAACTCACTGGCTGCCCTGTTTTCCGCCTCCTTTTCGGCCTCATCATCTTCGTCCGCAGTATCGTCCGGTTCCATGTCGATTGTCACATTCACGGAAGGACGTGGAGCAACCTCTGGTTTGGGCGTTTCATAATCCGTGCCAGAGGATTCGGCCAGCAAATCTTCTGGTGTGTAATCAGGCAAGTCTGATTGGGCTGGTTTCCCATCCGTATTTACACCGGCCAAAAAATCCGCCTCAGCAGCGTCATACAGTTTGGATTGTAGATATTGTTGAACAAATTGGAAAAACTAAAAAAAATTAGGACGTACAGACAGGGTGGCAGTCGAGCAAAGTTGTACACATTATTGTGAGTTGTTGATTGGTCGCAAAGATGTAATAAATTCTGAAAATTAGACGAGTATATGATACCCAAAAATATGAGATTGATGACTGTTATGTGAAGGTTCCTAAGGCTCCAAACCATATGACACAAAAATGATAGTTAATGCATCACTGCAAATGGCATTACTTTCCCCCAACCCTCTGTTAAGATACTAGAACCATTAATGCGGGAACGAGACGCACTGATGGGCGCACAATAGTACCTGCCTATTGGTGTCCGCTTCGAACATCTGATCCTCTGTGTTGAACAACTGCACCTGGTGTCCCTGGATATTTCGATAAGGTGGATCGAAAGTTTAGCGGTAAAATTTACTTATAGCCGATTTCTATTCCGAACTGAAAAAGGTTTTTACAGCTACCAACTCATTGGATTTTGAGTTGACAGGGAATTAGCAGGCACACTGAGAGTACCTTTCGGTGTTTCTCAGTGTTATGCTCTCCTCGCATTAATCTAATGGTTTATTAACTATATTTCTATTACATCAAATTTCATTTATATCTTTATCTTCATCTTTATCGATATCATTCTTCAATCTTCATTAATGTGTTTCAAAAAGCATTTTTCCCCACAATCACCCTAATCGATGCGTAGCGCTGAACTTCGATTCTGAACTGAATAACAGCCCGAGGTTTGAACGACTGTAGAAGATTCACAGCTGTTAAGACCGTCGGACAGTATTTTGCTCTCTCTCGTATTAATCCCTATTTTTACTTTCTGCCTTCTCCAGACTTCGCAATGCGAAAGCTTTCACCTTGCCCATGTCCAAAGAGAAAAATGCTCTTGCTGGTCGAATTTTCAAGGTTTTGTGAACCTTGACGCAAATTCGTTTATTCTTGCGCTACATCAGTTCCAAAAACAGATTAACTATACACTGTAGCTGGATTAAAACCCTGAAATGGCATCCTCAGTCAATCGACCGGTCTGATTTCGGTGCTACAGCATTATCGCATGATTTAGGACTATCAGAAGACAGAAAAATAGGCAACGAAGTAAGGATTAGTCACTATCATCAACGTAATTTGATCCGCTTTGAAGCTCAATTTCGACAGAACTTATGTTATGTAATGCATTGTGCATGCGTCTGGGGAATTGCGTTGGTGTTTAGGAAGCGGAAAGAAACTAGAATCAAAATACTGACGCATTCTAAAATAAGACTCACCAACAAATCGCGATATTTGGTTAATGCTTCATCCATGAGAAGATTCCGTTCACGTAGATGTTGGACCATGTGTTCGATCAACTGCATACGCTCTTCACGGTTGCGGACCGAATGATAGTGATCCGCAAACTCTGCCTCCCATTTCGATCGGATCTATGACGAAAACAAGCAATCGAAATATATGGGTAAAGTGCTTGAGAGCAATGTATATCGAAAGTATAGCAAAACTACAAGGGGAAAAACTAAAAAAACGAATAGAATATGTTCAAGTGTGACCACTTACGTGTGGCTCCACGATCGCCCGTGCTTCCTGCACAATACGCACAGTGAAATCGGTCCGCATCTCGTCGAAACACTGTCCATTAATGATTTTCAATTTAGGACAGAAATATGCGAGCATTTGGGGATTAAGCATCTGCAGGGGATTAAAAAAGTGGATTTAGAGGTATTGTATTCAAGATTTTTTAATAAAACAAATTTTAAACAGAAATCGTTGTTGAAAAAGCTAGGAAGAACCGTTCAGTTGCAATAGCCTGTTTGAGTTTCATTAACACCGCAGTTACTAAATTTGTGCGACCATTGAACACATTCTTTCGTGAGGCAGCTTTGGTTGCTGCCTTTGGGCTAACCGCCTGATGATGTAGAAGGAAGAAGTAGAAATCAAATAGCAATATCACAGCGAAGATGCAAAAGCAGACGTAAATGCAGCAAATTCGTGAAGAAATTGAGTAGATGCATGGGTGCCACCATCGGATTACTCAGTGTCTTCAACCATCGACTAAACTGGTCCCCAAGTTCCCCGATTATGGTTTTCACACCTTTATAACAGGTTTCAGTTTAACCGCCTATAGCTTTCTTCCAGCCATTTCTTGTCTCGCCAAACATCGCGCACATAGGGAGTCTAACGGGCGACATGCATAGCATTCCAGTAACCGCACTCAACCACTTAAACTAGTGCTCGACCGCGATTACCTAAAACTCTGCATCTGGCCTCAGTATTGTTAAGCTGTTTTCCCAAAGACTTGAGCAGTGCGGCGTGGATAGTGACAGTCAAACATCGACAGTTTGTATGACGATTAAGTCTCTGAAACATAAGTCAGCGCCGGTCGAAGTGTTGTCAACACTCGAGCCTACACGGACAACTGAATGCCGCGGCGGCGCCAGAGATATCTCCAGTTGGCAAACGGTGAAAACGGCGGAGAACGAATTATTGTGATCTCAGGCAATTCGAACAAGGTAACGATGTAATGTTTGTTGTCAACGAGTGTATCCTATTTTTTTGAGCGAGTCGTTATTGACAAAGTGCTGCAGGTGAAGATGCTGCGATAGTTCCACATCGGACACCCCGTAATCAATCCTGACTCGCAGTTACGTCCAAGGACCATATAAGTCTCATAAGTGGGGAGGACAGTGGAGATAATGGAAACCTCCGAGCGTGTCCGAATCCGAACAGTCCAAACGTTTGTTCTCATGTTAACACACCCCTTTCTATTGCATTTTACATAAAGCCCTTTGTTCGATTACAGCTCATTTACCAGGTTTATTGGTTGAGTAAAGCATCATCATCATCATCGTACAGCGAGATACAGAGAAGCGAACTTCATTGATCTCTGCCAAACTTGCAATGCGTGTGCACTGGGGTTTGATGAACAGGTACTGCTAGGGTGTCCAGCCACTAAGCAGGAGAACGATTAGGGTTCTCAACCAAAGTCTTTAGTTCTGACAAGAACCTAACCGCAAGGCAGCGGGTGAAGCGAAGTGGAGGTCCATTTACTTGGATTGATTACTCTTCCACTATTTTTTACCGACTGAAACAAATTCTAGACGAACCCCCAACCTGGAGGACTAGGAGACTGGACCTCATCTGACTTCTACCCTTCGACCTTCCAAGCATCTTCGGCTTGAAAAAAGCCATCCTGTGTAGCTCGTTAGGTCAGAGAGGTGCACAAGCCAACACACCACGTCAAGGTGCAGTCTCGTCGTGACGAGTGAAGCGTACACTTCAAAATCCGAGTCTACTCCGTTCCGCGTCCGTTTCTTGTATCGTAAAATGTTACAATTTACTCAACTATTAGTGAACCATCATCTTCTACTCGACAAATTTAATGTCTATCTGAACGCCCCAGACGCCTAAAAACAATCGACCTACTGGATACGCACCTTCAACGCCTTTTTAAAACGAATTCAATCCGATAACAGACAATCTAGACCTACTCGTCGACTTCATGGCACCTTCTGTCTATGAACATATATCTGAATATAAGACGTTTGACAACGCAAGCTCTTTCTCCTCGAATCGCCCCAAAAACGTTGTGTTTGCACAGTACCTCCTTTCTACTTGTAAGCAAGACACTAGACAAAACAGACCAGATGGTTAAAAATATGAAAACGCTCGCTAAAGAATGTAATTTTCGGACCATCTCGGTCGAAGAATATTGCAACGATGGTATGCGTGACGCATTTAGAGCTGGATTCCAGTCTTATATCATTCGTACGATATGGCAAGATCCCTTGAAGTTACCCAAAAGTATGAGCGGTCATCCGAAGCGGAAGGGGCACCAAATGAGTCGACTATTCCACTTCCTCCGATCACTTCTGTCGCCGACCCTGAACCCGTTTTATCAGCAGCTTCCTGGGCAGACACTTTAAACTTACCACGGATCTACGTTCGATAGCCTATATCTTCGATAACAACCATACTAGTAAAATCAGAAATGACCAAATCGAGAGATGGAAACTCGAGCTGTTGGTTTACCACTACGACATCGTATACTGACCCGGTAAAGACAACTCCGTTGCGGACGTACTCTCCCGTGAAGTATATGCTTCCAACTCCGACTTCCAGAAAGTGGAAAACCTACACGACTCGCTGTGCCACCCTGGAATCATGTGTATGATCCACTTTGTGCGCTCCAAAAGTCTGCCGTACTCGGTTGGGGAAGTTAAAACAATGACTTCTCGATGCAGCATTTGCGCCGAATTGAAAGCGCACTTCAATGTCCCTTACCGGGCACCTGATCAAAGCCACGCAACCATTTGAAAGGCTCATTATTGACATCAAAGAGCCATTACCCTCAACGTCTCGGTACATTCTGACGATCATAGACGAATACTCACAGTTCCCATTTGCCTTCGCCCGTCCAAATATACACTCGTCTACAGTCACTAAATGCATCCATCAACCTTCAGCATGTCAGCCTATATACACTCGGATCGGAGTCCGTCGTTCTTATCTTTTAAACTATAAACTTTCTTAAAAGATAAAGGAGTGGCTATCAGTCATACAACCGACTGCAAACCACAAACCAATGGTCAGGTTGAGCTACTGAACGGTGCTCTTTGGAAGGCTACTTCCCTGGCATCGAAGACGAGGGGCTTAGCAATCTCAGTGGGAATCTGCCCTACTCGATCCGTTCAACCTTGTGCCCCGCCAATACCACTCCACATGAGCAAATTTTGTTTCGCTCGACGCTCCACAAATGGTACGTCCCTTCCAACTTAGTTGACTACCGCTGACCTCGTGCTCCTCAAACGAATGGATCGTTCATCGAAACTGTGTCCCTTTGCGGAAGAAGTTGACCCTACCAACTAAAATCCACATTATGCCCGGATCAAATTTCGTAGTGGAAGAATGGAGGATGTCTCCATTCACCGTTTGGACCCCCGGGGCGATCCACGATTTCGAGATCCGAACCCCCAGCACCCTCTCCCGCATCGTATCACATCGCTCCTCCGACAGCATCCTACAGGTTATTCGAATCTCCTAGTCCCGATGAAGAATGCCCCTCCCCACCGAAAACACATCCAACACAGATAACATAACAAAACACAACCACAAAGAACGCCCTCATAATCTCAGTACCTTTTCCCCATTACAAACACTTATTCGTTGCACCCTTCATAAACGGTCGTTCTCCAGCCGGCGTGAATGTCATATGCGTGTTGTCATGTGTATACGCTTTTTATATTGCATGTTACATAAAGCTCCTGTTTTCTAATACGGCTCATGTACCGGATTTATTAGTTAATTAAAGCATTCAGTCCCAAATCCGAGTTTACTTCGTTCCGCATCCGTTTGCTTGTGTCGTAAAACGTTACACGGTGTTTCTCTGAATCCCTTTAGCAGCTAATTGATCAACGATAGCCGGTAAGGATAAAAAAGGAAAAGAGCCATGGAGCAGTAGTCCATTTAGCACCTCATCGTGTTCCATCTGGAACAAAGGTTACAGCGGCAGATTACCGCCACAACGTTGGTAATCCAACACTGGGGCGAATTTACCGAAATTCAGTACGAGAATCTAAAGACGACAAGAATGCACCTTGACGGGGTGTGATGGCTTGCGTGCCTCCGTGACTCTGCGAGCTATACAGGATGGCTCTTCACAGCTAGACGATCTGCGGGGTGGAAGTGTAGATGAACTGGATCACATTAGACGAGTAAAGCACTCCGTAGTGAAGGTTGCCTATGAATTTGGAGCGGTAGCCCGCCCGATGCATTGGATATCTGGTCAGTAGCACTGATGGAGAAAAAGCGGCAAATCCCGATCGCCCGGGATCAAGGCAGGGGTAGGTGGCGTCTGCAACGACAACTCAATAAAGACCGTGATTACTGATGGACAACGATAGTTAGTGAAATGGAAGTCGCAGCTGCACCAGGAAACAAGACTGTTCCAACTGATACGCAACACGGGGGTCGGTGAACCACAGTTAGTAAAACAATCTGCGACAAAAGTGGACAGGCTGTTCACAACAGAGAACAACGGCTTGATCGGTAGGCGGAGTACTTCAACGAACAGTTCATCTGGCCAGGTGCTAACCAGACTATATCGTCTGTTGTAGTTGAGGCTCCAATGGAAGTGTCGTGTGAACCTCTTACCGAAGCAGAAGTTCGATCTTGCATCCGAGCGCTGAAGAAAGGAAAAACAGCAGGACCCGGTGGGATCCCCCTCCCCTCACACACACATACATACACACACACCGTACAAGATGAGGGGCGATGACCTCGTAGACTTGATTACTGATGCGTAACGTATGGTCACATGAGCGCATTCCATCATCCTGGAGCGAATCACTGATTGTTCCCATTTTTAGGAAGGGATCTCGGAACGACAGCGTCACCAAGTTACAAGTCTCCATCATACTTCGACGTCTGACACCGTTTAGGGAGGCAAATATTAGCGAACAACAAGCAGGATTTCGACCGGATTGCGATTCTGTCGACCAAATCCTCACTCTGCGTCAAGTCCTCGAGCGAATCACTTATGGGTTCGCTGCTTCGCAAAGGAATGCCACAGAAGTATGTGAATATACTGAGTTTACTCTACTCGCATACTTCTAGTAGCGTAAGGGTCCACGGCGAGCTGATTATGTCGTTCGTAACTGGCAGGTGTTCGTCAAGGGTGCCCTCTTTTGCAA